AGATGTTTTAAAGTGACATTCTCACCTCCTCTGGTTTTCTTTTGTATTTTAAGGCTGTCTTGTTCATGTTCTTCATGGTATTTGATGTGTGTTTTTCTCTCTCCCTGTGTGTGTTTACAGATGCCAGCTGTGCTGTCCTGTCACAGCAGTGTGAGGACCAGCCATGTCCAGCAGACATGCACTGTGTTTTAGTTGAGGCCACAAGTGGACGTTACGCATGCCAGTGTCCACCGGGCAAACTGGGAGAGTGTGCAGGTGTGTGTGTGTAAGAATGAAACACAAAATTCTCAAATTGTTTTCTTTTTGGATGAAAATAATGTGTAAAACAAATTTCAAAATGTCACCTATATGTGCTTGTGCATTGTTCTGGGTGCAGGCCATTCGTCTCTGAGTTTCTCAGGTAACAGCTACATTAAGTATAGACTGTCTGACTGGCTACAGACGGAGCTGAAACTCAGCCTAAGGATCAGAACACTGCAGAGCCAAGGAATCATCATGTACACACACACTGAGCCCTGTACTGTGCTCAAGGTATACACACACACACACACACACACACACACACACACACACACACACACACACAAGTGCCAATCAAGACAAAACAGAAAGCTGCTGCTGTTGCTCTGCTTTCGGTCAAACGCTTCAGTGTCCAACAAGGAAATGAAGGATAAATGATCCCATATTTGGCAGTTACCATATAGAACAGTGAACTTTTTAGTTGTAGTTATAACCTTTAAGTTCATTAATTTATTCTACTTGATGTGTTTATTAGAACTAGTTAACATATTTCAGATTCTCAGTACAATTTAACGGAGACCCAGGTGTCTTGGAAAACCTGAACATTTTTGACCCGTTTTCCACTCATGAAAAAGTCATGAAAGATGAGACAAATTCTACAATGACCTTGAAAAACACTGCATCATCCTGGAAAATAATTTTTCATATTTTTCTCTTTTCTTTTATTTTTGAGGTTAATAGTTAAAGGTGGTGTTGTACTGGATTACATTATATTCAGAGGTGTCTCTTTGTTTTTGTCCTCCCGAGCTACATACATGAGAGGGTCAGAATATTAGGAACACCTCTGAATATCATGTGGTCCGGGACAACACCACCAGTTATTCAAAATATTTAAACCTGTAGTTTGTAGTCATAAGATTTGATTGATTAGACAAGGTTTTTCTAATTGATTCAACATTTGAACTAAGGATATTATGTATGTTTTTTAAATTTCCCTGGTATGATAAATCTTTCATTGGTAGTTTGTTTATTTGGATTCTGATTATCTGTTACAGTATAACCACTATTATTCCTGGGGTCCATAGAACAAAGTAACTACAACAATCCATGATTAAAACATATTAAACTCCCCTCCCATACGTGTGCACATAAACATTTACACAATCACCTATATAAATTTGTATTTAGCAAGTATTAAAACTACAAAACAAGCTCAGTACAATTAGCTACATCAATCAACATTATAGCAGCATAGGTAAGCAACAGTAGATCATCATCAACCATATATAACAAATTCAGGCCAACCAATTTCCCCTTCAGTATGTAATCAATCTAGTCTGTGTCTGTATGTGACTTATTAAGAACATCTTCAACTGTTGTTTAAAAACTAACTCAACTTAACTTTATTCTCTGGTAAATCATTGCACTGACTAGCTTAAAGCCTTAGTTCTAGGTTGAGGAAGTACTACCTTATCCATAGTTTGTTCTCTAGTCTTGTATCAGTGCTTATTCCTAATAAAAGAGGGCCAACAGACGAAAGGTCAGCCTTTCCTTCACCATCAACCAGGACAGCATGCATATCATCAACCTGCTGTCTGAATGGACAGTTGAGGGTGAACAGCTACATTTCAAACGACATGAAGCTTCTGCAAATCGTTTTTTTTTTTTTTTTTTTCTTTTTTTGCTGCACTGGACCACACTATAGGTCAGTAGTCCAAATGTGTCAGCATTAAACACTGAATTATCAGTTTTAATGTACTTGGAGATAATAATGACCGACACCTTTTCATATGACTAGACCAGGACATTATCTCATAAATTCTTATACCTAATAGTTTAATCAGATGTTTGTTATGAAAACATTTACAGTAAGCATGTACTTGTTAGGTATAGCCATCACTGCAATTGTACATAAGGGAAAGAAAACATTGAATACCCACTTTCCATGGAGATGTTCCAAACAAGGCATTTGAATCATTTGTATGAGAGTTTGATAGAAGACATGCAGTAAACAAAATAAGCAGGCTGTAATGAATTTCCTGACTGGATATACTGGGAACTATTAAACCGTGTCTGTTTATGTGTGAGCAGTTGGAAGAAGGGAAGCTGTGGTTCCAGCTGGCCTGTGGTGACAGTACCGACATGCTGGGCATCTCCAGCCGTCGTATAAATGACGGCGGCTGGCACACAGTGACACTGGAGCTGAATCGCAACTTCAGCAGCCTGGCTCTGGATGACAGCTATGTCGAGCGACGCCATGGACCTCCATTCATAAAACTGCTCGCTCCAGACAGAACCATCTTCTTTGGAGCACTGGTCAGTTCATGAGTGCTTGTAGCTGCCATACTGGGGGTTCAGACAATAACATAATTGTCATTTCAGGGCTCCTCAGCTTTTGGGCATCCAGAGATGCTGTAGCACATCCTTCAAAATGTAGAGCTTGTTATCTGGTAGAAGTTAGGAGACATTTCTAGTGGTCAATCAAATGTGAAATGCAGTTTTTCTGTCATGGTCATTACTTCAATGCGGGCTCAATGTCTGTAAACTGCATCACTGCTCACAATGCTCATAACATGTTTTTCTCAGCTTTCATGTTCATACCAAGGCATGCAGCCTACACACATGGGGGGATTATGACAGAATGGGCCCTTGGCACAAATACACTCATGGCCAAAAATCTCGGTACCCCTACCTTTCTGTCAGACAATGCACCATTTCTCTCAGAAAATTGTTGCAATCACAAATTCTTTGATATTATGTTTATTTCTTTTGTTTGCACTGGAACAACACAAAAAATCAGAGAAAAAATGATAGAAATCTGATCCATTCCACACAGAACTCTAAAAATGGACTTGACAGAATTATTAACGCCTTTCCAAAATCATCAGAAATAGTTATATTTCAAGCAGGTGATGCTCCTTTAATTTGTAAACTCACCTGTAGCAACCAACAAGTGATGGCAACATAGAAATCACACTGACAACCAGTTAAAATGGAGAAAGGTTGACTCAACCTTTGTGTTGTGTGGACCACACTGAGTGTTATGGCCTCACTAGTTGAGTGCAGCTAGCCATCCAACAGCTAAACACAGCTCCAGGAACTCCAGGGACACATACATGAGTTTTATGAAGTTTACTGGTAGCAAGTGTGAAGCTGGAAAAATACAGACAAAATGACATGGAATAAATGTGAATATTACAACAAAATTAGATAGTAAATAGGCTGCTGAGGCTACAGACAAATGTTTTATCAAGTTAACTCAGCCACAAAACAGCTACTCATTAAGGAAAAATAAACCTGGATGCAGCCATCAAAAATATCCTGCTCAGTTTGTACGGATTTTGAACAGAATCTTATACTCACAGATGTTGCTCTTAAGTAGAAAGGACAGGAATACACTCATTGCTGCCTCATTGCTCACAAACAGACTAAAACCTCCCTTCCTGGTCATTACTTTTACTGTTTTAAACAGGACATTAATAGAGTAAATTTTCTTACTATGGATGACCACAAGGGGGTACAATAGACCATACAACACATAAATTAAATTGACTTGCATTAAAGGTAATCAGAACATTGAGCATAGAGAAAAAAAGAGCAAAGAATTGTCTGAGAATTTGAGAACCACAATCATGAAAAAGCCTGGACAATCTCAAGGCTCCAAGTCCATCTCCAGAGATCTGGCTGTTCCTGTGTCCACTGTGAACATTGTCAGGACGTTTACAGCCATGGCGCTGTAGCTAATCTCCCTGGACGTGGACAAAACAGAAAAATAGAGGACAGGTTGCAGCGAAGGATTGTTTGAATGGTGGATAAAGAAACCCTGATCAACTTCCAGACAGATTCAAGCTGACCTGCAGGCACAGGATGCAACAGTGTCAGCTCGCACTGTCACCATCTAAATGACAAGGGACGCTATGGTAGGAAATCCAGGGGGCCCCGCTGCTGACAGAAACATAACACCAGATTGTAGTTTGCCCTAAACCTACCAGTGTTATTCCAATGCAAACAAAAGAAATAAACATACCAAAGAATTTGTGATTGAAACCGTTTTCTGGGAGAAGTAGTGCATTGTCTGACAAATGCAGGTGTGCCAATATTTTTGGCCATGACTGCTACATTATCTACTGTATCAATGACAGATATAATTTTAGAGTGCCAATACATTAACAATACAGCAGAGGTAAAGAGATATTCTAATTCTCTTTTTTTTGTTTTAGCAGGTGTGCCAATATTTTTGGCCATGACTGCTACATTATCTACTGTATCAATTGGCAGATATAATTTTAGAGTGCCAATACATTAACAATACATCAGAGGTAAAGAGATATTCTAATTCTCTTTATGTTGGTTTAGAAATATTATAATATATATATATATATTATAATTTGTTCTAGGCTATAACGACGGTATAAATTATATTTGATTACCTTCAGAAGAAGAGAAAGAGAAGAAAAAATTGATTAAGAGATTCCCTGGGGAAGGTTTGACCTCTACCAGCTATATGGAGCAGTTTTATGTCCTTGTTTTGTTTGTCTCATTCTTGAGGGCAAACATGCGTACGTGCATCTGTTATGGCAGGGGGGGGGGGGGACCCCAATAGCAGACACAGACTAGAGGAGGGGGAACTAAAAAAAGCAGTTTATTGATGGAAACACAGGTTATGCCGGATGGCAGGAAGACGAGCAGGAGAGTAGTCGAGCAGGCACACCGGTGAACACGGGGCAGCGGTAACTAACGGACAGACGAAGGGAAAGATGAGGAGCTGAGGACTTACGTACTTGAACATAAAATGGCGAAGGTTGTAGACTGAACGAGCGCAGAGTAAGCAGGGCTGCTGAGTTGCAGAAACAGGGATCAGTAACACGGGACGGGACGGGACGGGACAGGACAGGACAGGACACGGAGTTAAAGCAACAGAAAGCTCAGAACACGAACACACCATGCTATGAGTATGAATCGGCGGAAAACAAGGTGTATATGTACTTGGCGGGACCGGAGGATAACGAGTGAAATGACGACTGATTACGGTGACAGAGCAGGGAGGAGAGACAAGGTAAACAGAAACACAAATCCAAGAGGCACAGCGACGCGAAACCGTAACAGCATCTGGAAAACACGATACACATTTACTAAAATATGCAAAGATGCATGAGCACACGCAGGAAAGAGGGCCGATTGCTGCTAAATATAGTTTCAAACTTTGAAAAAAGAAAGAGAACTGGGCAAGTGTTTTACAGCGAAGTAATGCATTCTAGATTCTAGATTAAATTCAAGGATATACACAATGCATTTTTTGTGACTCAATACTGAATGTAATCATAACAGGATGAATAAAATAAGACAATATAGCAAATTACAGTACATTTTAAATAAAATTCTTCAAGTATAGCAGTTTAACCTGGTAATTAAACTGACTAAACTAAAGCATCTGTTCTACGCGTTCCCTGTACAGTTGTGAACATTTTAAGCAATTTCGTCTTGTTTTCCAATCCAGATAAAGTGATTTCAATATTAGACTGTGATGTGGAACTGGTGATGACTTCTATGAATGATAACTTCTGTTTCTGTGTATTCACATTTTGAGGGTAATTTAGTAAATTCATGTATGAATTCCTCATCCTTCTCTCTTCAGGTGCAGCACCCCAACTCTCGCAGCCTCATTGACTCCCAAAAGGATTCAGGGGTGCTCGAGGGTTTCCAGGGCTGCCTGGACTCGGTCATGCTGAACAACAATGAGCTGCCACTGCAGAACAAGCGCTCACGCTATGCAGAAGTAGTGGGACTGACAGAGCTGAAGCTGGGCTGCATCCTCTACCCAGATGCATGTCTGCAGCAGCCCTGTCGCAATGGAGCCACTTGTACCAGCCTGTCCTCTGGTGGTGAGTCACAGGAAGTATACAGCAAACAGCACAGCCACTGCTGGTCCTGTATGGGTCCTGGGAAATGATTCATTCCATTTAAGACATTTAACATTTGGGGCTAATGAACCTATTCTTATGAAATTGTTTCATATTGAATTTAAATTAATTGCTTAAATAACTTGACATATCTGCAGTTTTTAATATGTGTACTGAGAAAGTAATAGAAGGCAGCTCCTATAAAACTGAGGTGTGAAGATTTATGGCTCTGACCTCTGACACCATGACTTTTGCACCTCAACCCCCCACCACATCTAACACCCAGGCCACTTACAACTGTATGTCATAAAGTCTTCACAGGAAAGAAATGTTGAACACCCCAGAGACTATGTTTGACAGAAGGTTAGCCATCATAATTTATGATTGGGAAATCATGTGACTTAGATGTTTAATCTAACCCCATGTGGGACCCATTGTATTTATCTGGGAGATGGAGCTAAGATAAACATGTATGGTAAAGGGTGCAGCTGGAGTGTAACAGCATGGTTTAGACAGCTGCAGTCCTCACCTGAAGCCGGCAAGCAGTATCTACCGTGGTCCGTGTGTCCAGGAGAGCCACTGTTAGCCAATAATGAGAGAGAATTTCCCTCACCAGAGAGAGGAGGTGGAGGATTGGAGTAAAGCCAACATCTACATCCGGCCTGACTCTGACCCTGGTTCTGCTGCTGCTGCACTGGTAGAGTGCATGGACGAAGTGGAGGGTTTATTAAGGCCTAGTGTGCTCCAAATTATTAAACTGACTTTGGTAGGGATACTTAAATTGATAATCACCGCTCACGTACAATCACTGTGCAGAGGCTGTGCTACCAAAGCTGGACTGTCTAAACATAGCTGTTTAAATCCTCTCCCTAAATGGTATTTTAACATATATTTTAAGCGAGGTTGCTGATGCCACTCCTGATTCTGACCTGAAGTGGACCCATTGCCTGAAAGCCTCACCTGCTCTGGCCTCCAGGTGGGTCGACGAAGACACCCCCAGTATTGCTGCTCCCTGGTGGGTTGGCGTCTCTGACGCTACCTCAGTTCTTGTTCCCCAGCAGGTCAATGCCACCACCATTCCTGTTCCTGAGTAGGTCGACACTGCATCTACCCCTGTTCTTGAATGGCACAACGCCACCACCACTTCTGTTCCTGAGCAAGTCAACGCAACCTCGGTCACAGTTCTTGAACAGCATGATGGCACCACTACCTCCATTCCTGGGTGGGTCGGCACCGCCACCGATTCTGCTCCCCGGTGGGTCATCAATCACAACGCCACCTCAGTTCTTGCACCCAGGTAGGTCACCAACAATCACGCTAATCTCGTTCCTATTATTTCGTGAGTTGACAGCGACGCCACTCTGCTAGTCCTGGTACCCCAATGGGCCACCGACTCTACCTCAGTTCCTGTGTCTCTAGGGGGTGACTATGACACCTCTGTCTTGGTTCCTGTGCCCCGACGAATCATCAGTGGCTTCACCTCTGGCCACGTGCTTCGGTGGGTCATTGGTGATGTCGACGCTGCTCCAGTTTAGACTCAGTGGTTACCCGGTGATTGTTTACTGTTTCTGTGCTTCAGTGGGTCGGCAACAGCGCCACTGTTCCAATTCCTATGCCCTGCTCCACACCAGCTCTGCCTGCCCTGCCTTGCTCCAACCAAGCACACCTGCTCAGCTCCAGCCTCACTCCAGCACTGCCAGCCTCAGTCAAGTTAGCCTGTTTCATTCCAGCACAATTCCAACTCCATCAGCCAAGCACCATTTCAGCTTTGCCAACCAAGCACCTCTCTAGCTTCACCAGCCTAGCACCCCTTCAGTTTTGCCAGCCAAGCACAGTTCCAGTACTAGGCTTGCTATCTGTCCATCCTCCTGAGGAGCTCCACCTTCAACACCATCAGCCTCTCCGCTTTCCCAACCACCCTCCTGGGGGGCCCAGTCTTCACTTTGGGTTAGTCTGGCAGCCTCAGTCTCTGGCTCGGCTTCCTGCTCTGCTCCGAGGCCATACTCCTGAGCAGCCTTGGCATCCTCCTCTGCTATGAGGCCATCCTCCTGAGCAGCCTCTGACTCCTGCTCGATTCAGAGGCCATCCTTCTGAGTATCCTCTCCAGCTCTCCGCCTATCTCCAAGGCCGTCCTCCTGAGCAGCCTCTCCAGTTCTCTGCCAGACTCCGAGGCCGTCCTCCTGAGTGGCCTGTCCTGCTCTGAGGCCATTCTCCTGAGTGGCCTATCCCACTCCAAGTTTGCCATCCTGAGCAGCCTTGGACTCCTACTCTGCATCAAGGTCATCTTCTCGAGCAGCTTTCTCGGGTCCCTATCAGGTCCCAAGGCCATCCTCCCGAACAGCTTTCTTGGGTCCCTGTCAGGTCCCAAGGCCATCCGCCCGAGCAGTCTCTCCAGTTCCTTATCAGAGCTCCCAGTCATCCACCAGAACAGCCTCTCCAGCTTCCTGTCAGGTCCCGAGGTAGTCTGCCTGAATGACCTCCTTTGCTCCCTTGACACCTGGGTCATCTTCCCAAACAGCATCATCTGCTCCTTGCTTGGCACCGAGGCCATCCTCCAGAACAGTCCTCTCAGCTCCTTGCCTGGTTCAATGGCCACGCTCCCAGTCAGTCATCTCAGCTTCCTGTCTGTTTCCAAGGCCGTCCTCTAGGGCTGCCGTCTCAATTCTCTGCCTGGGTCGGTGGCTGCCCTCCCGGTCAGTATTTCCAGCTTCCTGCCTGGTCCCAAGGATGTCCACCAGAACCGCTTCATCAGCTTCCAGCCTGGTCCAAAGGTGTTTTTCTTTTTGAATTTGCCTACTGAGCTCCCTGAATGGACTGTTTTGAGTTGTAGGTTTAGTTATTTTCCTTGTCGCTTACTTTCAGGTTCAGCTCTCTTTTTGTTCAACCCTTAGTTATCATTTTGTTTATTCTTCTAGAACTATTCCTGGCCAGTCTCTGCTTCTTTTTTGAAGCCATCCATACATTAGATCTGACAGGTTTAACATCCCATGCACCCGAAGTTACTTTGAAGTTACCCCCCTACGCTTCAGCATATCAGCAAAATTATATGACAGTCACTATGATACATTATGGAGCCTTATACTGGAAATGAACAACACTTTTAAAGAGAAGAAGTCGGATATCTTGTTAGTATACAATATTGACAGAAAGAAATAACTCTCACTCATGATCTAAAACACACCATTATAGGTATGGCCAAAAGGGAGGACCTCACACTGACCTCTGTTTTCAGAATCCTGCTACACCAACCCACCCTGCCTGCTTGTTTCCTGATCCACGTACCTGTGTGCCTTTGACGCAGCCTGACTGATTGTTTCCTGACCAGCTTACGTGTGTGCGATTGAACCAGCTTGCTTGCTTGTGATCTGTGTTACTCCACTCCTGCCTGTCTGCTCGTTCTCCCCGATCAGCGCATCTGCTTGACTCACGCCAGCTTGCCAGCTCCTAGATCTGCCTGGGACTGGTCATTGTGTGCCTGCCTCTGGTGTCCAATTGTAGCTAAGAGCCATTCAGCTTAACACTCTAATGTACCAGGACTTTGCCACGATATTCAGGAAGTTTTCAGCAGGGACCTAGCTCTCTCCCTGCCTCCACACAGACCGTATGATTGCACTATTGACCTGCTATCTGGAGCTCCTTTGCCATTTAATATACAGGGTTATTCAAAAAGAATGAACTGATTTCATTACGCAATATTTTTTAAGGAAAAGTAATACAAAACTCCAGCCAAGTCACAAGTATTCTACTCACAATCAACTTTTATTTCCTGTCTTACAAGTGTTCAATGCGGCCACCACCTGCAGCACGGGCAACATCAATGCGATAAGAGAATTCCTCCCAGGCGCATATTAGCATATCACAATCCACTGAGTTGATCGCTGTTAGTGGGTAGCAGCCATTCAAAACTTAGATAACTCCTTTCAAATGGTCACTGACTCGTTCCATGACGATGCTTGAGAACTGAAGCAATGCGTAATGAAATTGGTTCATTCTTTTTGAATAACCCTGTATTATATCAAGTATTCAAACTGGAGAGGAAGGCAATGGAGAAGTACATTGGGGACTTGTTACGGGCCGGTATTATTTGGCCGTCCTCTCTCTTGGGGGCAGGGGTCTTCTTTGTGGGGATGGCTCTCCGTACCCCTGTATTTATTACCGAGATCTCAATGAGATCACATTCAAGAATAAATATCCCTTGCCTTTACTGAACTCCCCTTTGAGTCGCTACAGGGGGCTACTGCATTCACCAAACTAGATTTGCAGAATGCTTACCATCTGGTCCGTATAAGCGATTAAGTGGAAAACGGCTTTCAAGACACCATTAGGGCACTTCGAGTACTTGGTCATGCCCTTTTGATTGACCAATGCTAAGGCGGTTTTTCAAGCCCTAAATGGATCACATAACTCACCACTTCTCTCATAAAATTGTTGCAATCACAAATTCTTTGGTATTCTCATGTTTATTTATTTTGTTTTTACACTGGAACAACAGAAAAATCAGAGGAAAAAAGCCAAAAGTGATACATTACACACAGAACTCCAAAAATGGACTGAACAGAATTATTGACACCCTCAAATTAACACTTGGTAGCACACCTTTTGGATAAAATAACTGAAATCAGTTGCTTTGTGTAATCAATGAGTTTTTTTTACACCTCTCTACTGGAATTTTGGACCACTCATCCTTTGCCAATGGCTCCAGGTCTCTCAGATTTGAAAGGTTCCTTCTCCCAACTGCTGTTCTGAGATCTCTCCACAGGTGCTTTATGGGATTTAGATCTGGACCCTTTGCTGGCCACTTCAGAACTGTCCAGCTCATTGTCTGAAACCATTTCTGGTGCTTTCTGAAGTCTGCTCAGTGTCATTGTCCTACTGTAAGACCCATGACCTGACAGAGACCCAACTTTCTGACACTGGGTCCTACTTTGCGCCCCAGAATTCATTGGTGGTCTTCAGATTTCATAAAGCCATACACACAGTCA